ATATTGTCTACAATTGCTTCCATGCTACAATGGCAGAGTTGAGTAGCTGAGACAGAGACCACAGGACCTGCAGAGTTTAAAATATTTACTATATGTAAGAGATTTCTTTGGGAGCACAGTGACAGAATATGGGATGTGCAAGGAGAATTTGAAAACATTACATTAATAAAATAGGTAATAGGAAAGTGTTCTGAGCTTGCAGCAAAAGTATTAGAGCAGAAGCTGTATGGCTGGTCATCAGGGAAGCAGTAGAGCATTTGGATAGCAGTCAGAAAATGGGGGTATTTGACTGCAATAAGAACCCTTCTGACACAGGTTATTCAGGAGTCCCATAGATAATGCCCCAGTTTTGACTGCATATGATTAGTTATAAAAAGAGATTATGGCCAGGTGCGATGGCTTATGCTTGTAATCCCTTGGGAGGCCAAGGTGGGTGGATCACTTGAGGTCAGGAGTTCGAGACCAGCCTGGCCAACATGGTGAAACCCCATCTCTACTAAAGATACAAAAAAAATTAGCCAGACGTGGTGGCGGGTGCCTGTAGTACCAGCTTCTTGGGAGGCTGAGGCAGGAGAATCACTGGAACCTGGGAGATGGAGGTTGCAGTGAACCAAGATTGTGCCATTGCACTCCAGCCTGAGCAACAGAGCAAGACTCTATCTCAAAAACAAAACAAAACAGAGATTATAGTTAATTATATAACTGAGAGAGAGAAATGTTACAAATTTAGTAGCACAGGTGATTCCGCTTGCATTCTACTCCACAGTGTATCTGCTTTTTTCTCAAGAGTCTCATTTCCTACAGTTAATTTGCTGAGTGAAGGTTGTTCTATGTAAACTGTAAAATTATTCTTACTATATAAATTATATTCAGTATGCTATTAAATACATTAGTTGTTTATACATACACATTACAATATCATTTTTTGGGTGATTTCTGGGATTTCCAATGACCAGTCCCAGTTTTTCACCTAAAGGCTGACTTTAGAACTTAACTTCTGCAGGCTGGGCATGGTGGCTCACGCCTGTAATCGCAGCACTTTGGGAGGCCAAGGTGGGTGTATCACCAGGTCAGGAGTTCAAGGCCAGCTTGGCCAAGATGGTGAAACCCCGTCTCTACTAAAAATACAAAATAATTAGCCAGGTGTGGTGGCGGGCACCTGTAACCGCAGCTACTCGGGAGGAGTAGCAGAGAATTGCCTGAACCCGGGAGGCGGAAGTTGTAGTGAGCTGAGATCACGCCACTGCATTCCAGCCGGGGCGACACAGGGAGACTCCGTATCAAAGAAAAGAAAAAAGAACTTAACCTGTGCATAAGAGATTTCTTTGGGAGCACAGTGACAGAATATGGGATGTGCAAGGATGGATTCAGTGAATTGATGAAGCCCAACTGGGACATGAAGGAAGATAGCACCTGGAGAGCTGTAGAGGGCTGAGAGGATAGCACCTGGAGAGCTGTAGAGGGGTGAGAGGATAGCATCTGGATTGCTGTAGAGGGGTGAGAGGATAGCATCTGGAGAGCTGTAGAGGGGTGAGAGGATAGCATCTGGAGAGCTGTAGAGGGGTGAGAGGATAGCATCTGGAGAGCTGTAGAGGGGTGAAGGTGGTCCATGTGGGTATGTAGGGATTGTGTACTTGCAGTGTCCAAAGATCTTGCTGTTCTCCCTTCCTCTTTCCTCATGTTTCTCTACCACTTTCCCCTACAGAACGTGAAGCTCTTGGAACAGTTTGTCTGCGCCCACACGGGTATCATCTTCCATTCTCTATACACAGGTTAGCCCATCATCCCTGCACCACCAGAGAGCTTTTCCTTGTGGCATGTTTTGTTTATGTAGTTGTTCAATAGTTATTCGTTCAGTGGCTCCTACTTATAGCTTAAAAGGTCTGGCTGAACCTTTTGGAAATCTTGGTTTACTGGGGGCTAAAGCAATTAAATGTGGACAAAAGAAAAGGACAAGTACAGCCAGGCGTAGTGGCTCACGCCTGTAATTGCAGCACTTTGGGAGGCCAAGGCGGCCGGATCACCGAGGTCGGGAGTTCGAGACCAGCCTGACCAATGCCTGACCAACGTAGAGAAACCCTGTCTCTACTAAAAATACAAAATTAGCTGGGCGTGGTGGTGCATGCCTGTAATCCCAGCTACTCGGAAGGCTGAGGCAGGAGAATCGCTTGAACCCAGGAGGCAGAGGTTGCAGTGAGCTGACATTGCGCCATTGCACTCCAGCCTGGGCATCAAGAGTGAAACTCCATCTCAAAAAAAAAAAAAAAAAAAAGGAAAAAGAAAAAAGCAAGTGCTTCTGTAAGCAAACTATCTAAATGTAGTTTTTAATTGATGAACAGTGATTAATTCCTTTCTATAGGGTCTTTTCACTTTTACAAAAGACTTCTCGCAAATTATCACATAAGTTATTTTATATCTTTGTCAATTGAATTAGATTTTCCAAACTTGGAGTTGTAAATTTAACAATTCAGGATTATATCTATTCCCTAACTACAGTCACAGGGCAAATCTGGCCCACTGCCATGTCCATTTGTTTTCATATTGTCTACAATTGCTTCCATGCTACAATGGCAGAGTTGAGTAGCTGAGACAGAGACCACAGGACCTGCAGAGTTTAAAATATTTACTATATGACTCTAGACAGAAAAATTTTGCTAACCCTGCTCTGAAGCAAGACAAATTTGCAGAGAATTTTTTTTTTGTTTTTGAGACGAAGTTTCACTCTTGTTGCCCAGGCTGGAGTGCAATGGCAGGATCTTGCCTCACTGCAACCTCTGTCTCCCAAGTTCGATTCTCCTGCCTCAGCCCCCTGAGTAGCTGGGATTACAGGCGCATACCACCATGCTTGGTGAATTTTATATTTTTAGTAGAGATGGGGTTTCTCCACGTTGGTCAGGCTGGTCTCGAACTCCCGACCTCAGGTGATCCAGCCACCTCGGCCTCCCAAAGTGTTGGTATTACAGGCGTGAACCACTGTGCCCGGTGGAGACTAATATAAATATATATTTTTTGCAACGAAATCTCATTTACTTTGTCACCCAAGGCTGGAGAGCAGTGGCGTGATCTCGGCTCACTGCAGCCTCCACCTCCTGGGTTCAAGCAATTCTCCTGCCTCAGCCTCCCATGTTGCTGGGATTACAGGCACGTGCCATTGTGCCTGGCTAATTTTTTTTGCATTTTTAGTAGAGACAGGGTTTCACCATTTTGGCCACTTTGGTCTTGAACTTCTGACTCAAGTGATCCTCCTGCCTAAGCCTCCCAAAATGCTGAGACTATAGGCATGAGCCACTGTGCCCAGCCTTGCAGAGAATAAATCTGAATTCACCATTATTGGAGGTGGCAGTACAATCAGTGTTCAGTTTGTCAAGAGTTTCTTATAGTCAAGCTGTAAAGGCTGAAGGGACTATTATTGTTACTCTCTCAGATTGCCTTCCCCAACTCTGAAGTCTCTTCTCTCTTTATTGAATCTTTCTCTGTGGATTGTTCAAGTCAACCCTCTAATTAACCACACTTGCCCATTAAATTGTGTTCTGCTCCCTGTCTTGGAGGCTTTACCATTAAATAGCTTCTCTATATTGGCTAGACCCTCCTAAATCTTTATCCCAGCTCTCCAAGAGATGGGAGAGATTCTTTCCATTGGGCAGATGGGGAAACTGAGGTCCTCGGAGAGGTCAGGGGAAAGGGGTCATTAGGTAAAGCCAGTCCTTCCCAATCTACTCCTCTGTCACCATACGGAAGCAGTTGTGTTCTATTATTTACTGTGCCTTAAAGAACAAGTTATTTTTCTCCCCATAGGAGTCTGTGTGAAGCAGCACAAGAGGTTGACCCAGGCCATCCAGAAAGCCAGGGATCATGGTGAGCATGAGACGGGGCACACGGCGGTTTTGTTTAGGTATAAGGAAGGTGACTTAGGGCTAGATTATGGATATAAATGCTCACACCTGTTCAAGATGGTAGCAACCAGCATGTTCTTCCTGAGTCTCTTCTGACATTCCATTGTCCCCTGTCCCTTCTCCTGAGTGTCTTACTTTATCATTATCCTGTCTCCTTGGTCTTTGTCTTTCCATCCCTTTCCCTCCTATTTTACAACTGCTGGTCTCAATGCCATAGCAAGATCATAGGAAGATCTTTATATAAATGTCTGGCCCTGGACTACATGGCACTGCTGCATAAATTAGTAAAAGGTATAGATGCAGCTTCATAGTCCTTGTTCAGGGCTGCATAGCTTTGTAAGCAAGAGCCCCAGCAGTATGTCAGCCCACATTTGCCCTCTGGGCCAGTCTCACCTGTTTGCAGTATACAACATACATAAATGTACCCAGTGGCTCTGACTGGTCCCTCCCTTTATAATCCTTTTTCTTCATCTAAACCACCCTCCTCATTCCCTCTTAAATTTCTCTTCTTTTTTAATCCCTTAGGTCTCCTCATTTACCACATCCCCCAGGTTGAACCACGGGACCGTGACTTCAGTATCTCTCATGGGGCTGTGAGTGCTACTCCGCCAGCCCCCACCCTGATCTCAGGTGACCCCTGGTACCCATGGTACAACTGGAAACAGCCACCAGAGAGAGAACTGTCACGCCTTCGCCGGCTTTACCAGGGTCATCTTCGAGAAGAGAGTGGCCCCCCACCTGAGTCAATGCCCAAGATGCCCCCTACAGCACCAGCGGAAGCCGCCTCCACTGGGCAGACAGACCCTCAGAGTGCTCTGTAGGAGCCGTAGACTGGGAAGAGAGGCCAGGCATGGTGGCTTACAAAAAAATACAAAAATTAGCTGGGTGTGGTGCTGCACGCCTGTAGTCCCAGCTATTGGGGAGGCTAAGGGAAGATCACTTGATCCCAGGAGGCGGAGGTTGTCATGAGTTGCAGTTGCACCCCTGCACTCCAGCCTGGGTGACAAAGCCAGACCCTGTCTCAAAAAAAAGGGAAGAGAGCCAGAGGGACTAGGAGATAATGTGTATGTAGGTTTATATGATGGGATATCACCCTGAAGAGTTGTGTCTTTTGTAGCCAATGACAAATCCAGGAAATAATGTTGCTGATAGGGATAAATCTTGAGGCTGAGGGAGGGCAGGACAGATGTGTATGGGAAACTCCAACCCCTATATATTGTAAATAGATGGGCTGGGCTAAACATTGTTGCTATTTCAGACTTATACCAACTCAGCTTTTACACAATAAAGCTCTACTCTCCTGTCTCTAGTTTGCTTTGGGCTGTTTACCATGAATACCATTAGCGGGGGTGGGGTGAGTGATGTTCTTTTCATATAAGCAATTGGGTGGTGCTGTGGGGAGATGAGTGGTCAGGCTTAAGCCAGCCTTGCCAGTGACGCCTGGGACTAGAAGCGGGGGATGGGCAGCTGTGCCACTCTGTCAAGATGCCTTTGTGGGTCGCCATTCCACACTCACAGCATAGCCCACTTCACTGAGGGGCTAAAAGGTTAGTGAGACACTGGGCCTAGGAAGACTGCGTTGCCATGGCACTCACTGCCGTGGGATGCAGAGATGGGAATGAGTGGCACTGCTAGGGATACAGCTGGTTGAGCAAAAAAAAGGGGGGCCCTGGCAGTTGCCAGGACGCTAGGGGCAGGGTCTACAGGCGGGGCTCCTGGAAATAAAGACTCCCAGAGGCAGTGCGGCGAAGGGAGGGGCGGAAGTGACGTCGTGTGGGGCGGGTCCAACCGCGCACAATGGGCCATGGAGTTCCCGTTCGATGTGGACGCGCTGTTCCCGGAGCGGATCACGGTGCTGGACCAGCACCTGAGGCCCCCAGCCCGCCGACCCGGAACCACAACGCCGGCCCGGTGACAGCTCAAACCCACCCCCTGCCCCTTTTCTCCCGGTTCCTCTCCAAACCTGGTCCAGGCACCACGCCCCCTTCTCACTGACTAGTGATCGCTCCTTTTGATGTCCTGGCCTGCCTTTTTGGTGACCTCTGACCCTGGGCCTAGTGGGATTGATCAGCGCTTGGATCTGTGACCTTTCACCTCGGCCCAAAATGTCCCAACCAAAGGATGTGGTTGACCCGGCCTTTCTGCTTCCTCACAATAACCTTAAGGGAGGAGGGAGTGTACCACCTTGAAAGGTGTGACAGAAGTTTGGGTTTCAGAAGCGTGGGGTGGGAAATCAGATTGGGAGACTTCCAGGCAAAGGCAGGGAGCGTTCAGTGTTAAACCTTGGTTGGAGTTGTGGCCCAGGTTCCCAGGACTGACTGCCCAGGACCCGCTAATTCAGTGAGTATCTGACGCTTTTATTTCTTCTCTTTCTCTAGTGTTGATCTACAGCAGCAAATTATGACCATTATAGATGAACTGGGCAAGGCTTCTGCCAAGGTACTGGAGAGGTTTTAGATGGAGTAAAGGGAGGACCTCTGTGGGGATGGTAGATAAGGGAGGCCTGGGTCCTTTGGAGGGACTTGCAGAAAGTCTGACTTAATCTTCCCTGCAGGCCCAGAATCTTTCCGCTCCCATCACTAGTGCATCAAGGATGCAGAGTAACCGCCATGTTGTTTATATTCTCAAAGACAGTTCAGGCCGACCGTGAGTGCCACATTCTCTTCCATCCCATACTTAATTCCTTCCTCCCTCAGCCCTTCCCCCATCTTTGACTATCTCTTACAGATAGTTACCACTAGCCTGTTCATTATTTTCCCCGTTCTACAGGGCTGGAAAAGGAGCCATTATTGGTTTCATCAAAGTTGGATACAAGAAGCTCTTTGTACTGGTGAGTGTTACTGGAAGCCAGGAGTTCGTATACCTTGGTTCTTGAGAACAAAAGTGCTGGAGGTTAGGGGGCAGCAGAGATGCCGGGGGTCCTAAAACATTTTTATTGTTTCTCTCTTAGGATGATCGTGAGGCTCATAATGAGGTAGAACCACTTTGCATCCTGGACTTTTATATCCATGAGTCTGTGCAACGCCATGGCCATGGGCGAGAACTCTTCCAGTATATGTTGCAGGTATCACTTACCTCTTCACTGGTTCATCCAAACTAGGGACTCCTTTGCCATGAGCCCTTCCAGAAGCCCTGCCTCCCACCCCCCATATTCCTATGTCCTCCTATTCCCTTCCCAGGCTTCTGGCTTCCTGTTGGCATGCTTTCCCCATACTTCCTCCTACCCTGAGTCTCCTGTTCCCTGCAGAAGGAGCGAGTGGAACCGCACCAACTCGCCATTGACCGACCCTCACAGAAGCTGCTGAAATTCCTGAATAAACACTACAATCTGGAGACCACAGTGCCACAGGTTAGAAGTTTCAGAGAATAAATCCCCACTGAGCATTCCCATTGAATTTATTATTTATGGCAAAGAAGTAGTGACTTATTTCCTATCACATAGGTTTCATTTTCTACAACCAGGCTCTTTGTCTTGTGGTACCATCTCTCATCCTGTAGTGACTTCTTTCTCGTCTATTTTGAGATTTTTTGTCTCTAGTTTGCTTTGGGCTGTTTACCATGAATACCATTAGCGGGGGTGGGGCCCAGGCCATCCAGAAAGCCAGGGATCATGGTGAGCATGAGACGGGGCACACGGCGGTTTTGTTTAGGTATAAGGAAGGTGACTTAGGGCTAGATTATGGATATAAATGCTCACACCTGTTCAAGATGGTAGCAACCAGCATGTTCTTCCTGAGTCTCTTCTGACATTCCATTGTCCCCTGTCCCTTCTCCTGAGTGTCTTACTTTATCATTATCCTGTCTCCTTGGTCTTTGTCTTTCCATCCCTTTCCCTCCTATTTTACAACTGCTGGTCTCAATGCCATAGCAAGATCATAGGAAGATCTTTATATAAATGTCTGGCCCTGGACTACATGGCACTGCTGCATAAATTAGTAAAAGGTATAGATGCAGCTTCATAGTCCTTGTTCAGGGCTGCATAGCTTTGTAAGCAAGAGCCCCAGCAGTATGTCAGCCCACATTTGCCCTCTGGGCCAGTCTCACCTGTTTGCAGTATACAACATACATAAATGTACCCAGTGGCTCTGACTGGTCCCTCCCTTTATAATCCTTTTTCTTCATCTAAACCACCCTCCTCATTCCCTCTTAAATTTCTCTTCTTTTTTAATCCCTTAGGTCTCCTCATTTACCACATCCCCCAGGTTGAACCACGGGACCGTGACTTCAGTATCTCTCATGGGGCTGTGAGTGCTACTCCGCCAGCCCCCACCCTGATCTCAGGTGACCCCTGGTACCCATGGTACAACTGGAAACAGCCACCAGAGAGAGAACTGTCACGCCTTCGCCGGCTTTACCAGGGTCATCTTCGAGAAGAGAGTGGCCCCCCACCTGAGTCA